AATACGACGAGTTTAACAACTTAACAAACCTACTGGACAAGGAATGGGGCTTAAGCCTCTAGAATTTGCCGACTGTTTGTTGGACAGCCCTTATTTTCGAGAAAATATTCACGAACATGAACGAGAATTGGAGCAGACGAATGAGGCGATTAAGGGTTTGATCAAGGAATGCAAAGCTTTACTCAAGGCAACGGAAAGTACGTACCTTAAATATCATCTAAAACTCGACATTTAATTCTCTGTCATTGCTTCAGGTATCCTTGCTTGTGATCCATAAGCCACATTTTCCTGCAGGATTAGAAGAAAGAAGAAAGAGTCTTTCGCAACGTTGAATCTGTGCTGAATTGTGCTTAGATGTTTGAAAGAGAAAATGTAGTTAAAAAATAAAAATCGTTTGCAAAAACCATGTCTAAATTTCTATTTTGATATGACAGAGAATTAATATTACAAATTACGCCTAGGTAGATTAAATATAATGCTTTTTAAGCGTTCAAATCCTTAGGTTTTTTGTTCTGGTTCTAGTATGTCCTCAACATACCATCCACATTCTGATAACACAGCTCCAAAAACATCGAGTATCTCAAATTTCTTCTTGCTGGCGTTGAAAGAACTTTTTAGAATTGCATTTAATANCTTGCTGGCGTTGAAAGAACTTTTTAGAATTGCATTTAATATTTCACCAACGGTGCTAAAGTGGCAAATAAACTTTTATATTTGTGGAAGCCATTGTGAGAGGTGTCGGAGACACATGTTTATTGTCTAAAGGAAGTTCGTTATGAGGTACGATGCTTGGTTTTTCCAGTTAATTCGATCTGTGGAATTCCGTTTTTACCRGACATATATCGTCAAAAAGCTTATCTTAGGGGATTAGAGAAAAAGTCTTTCTTTTTGGCGAATATTTACCACAATATACTCATTCTTGCATATTAAAAAAATACATATTACTTAACTTTTATATCTTGTCACGAAAAAATCTAATCGGAACACTTGTCTTTTTTTAAATCGTTCAAACCATTCCCAGTCATGATCCGAGTTATTGAAGTTATTTTTTATTTGAATTTTAACTGGAGGTTTTAAGTGGTAATCGTATCAGAGATCTTTCGATTATTTTCATTACAGATACTAATRTAATACAGGTTTTGTCATGCAGACAGACTGGCATGAGTAACTTCATGTGCTAATTTGATTCATGTATAATCTTCAGYAGTTTTGGTTCATCTGTTAATCCAGTGCTCGAAATACCCTTATTTTCGTTTATTTTATAAGTTAAGCCTTCCTTTTAGGCAGAAAATTTAGCAAAACTAATAATTGTTTGGTAGACAATAACACTATTGTTGTGGTTACATCTTGTGTTAAATGTTCAAAAAGCTCTTTTGTTTTCAACCTCCAGGAACATTTATATTTAAAAAAAAGAATTACTAACCATTTCCTTGTTTTTCAAATCCTCTGTTTAGAATGACAATTTGATATGTTTATTTATTTTATTGTTGATTGTGTATGCAACAATACCAATACTCTTATCACAAAATCATTAATTCCACTTTTCTGTCAGCCATCCAAATTTATCAAAACAACTAATATAAGTTTAGCGTTGGTTCCAGCTTTTGACTCAGTTGATTAGCAATGCAATTCTTTTATAATCATCATATCTTTTTGTTTTTTAACCTTTTTGTGGCTATTGGCTTCTGTATTAATGTAATCAAGTTGTAAGTGTTCCACCCTCGTATAAGATAATTTTTCAAAAATCCTTGAGAAAGCTGAATAAATCTAATTGATAAACTRTACATTTGTATGGAAATTAAATGATGATGTCCAAACGTTTTGGTGACTGTAGCACCACATACATCACATGTAATCTAGGGGCTGATTGGTGGATTTGGTCCTGCATATTGGACATAACTGACATACTGAGTAGAATCTAACTATATTTAGGGTAMATTTTACCGACTGCAGGTTAAGGAAATGTTACCACTCTTTTCACTGCTACACGCTGATCAAGATGTCACTCACAACAAGGAAATAGGGCAATACACTGCTTCCAAACCGAGAATATAAAGGTACTGACCAGTTTATTTGATTGACAGAAGTGTATTGCCTAATTTTCCTGTTGCAACACTTATCTAGATCAGCTCGTAGCAATGAAAAGAGTAGTTAAGGTGCCAAATGAAAAGTATAATGACAGGTGAAATTTGTGTTTTCAAAATTCATTATTCTTTGCCAAAATAAACATTTTATGTCTTTAAGTTTTGAATCTTGCATACTGTGTTATATTGAATTCATTGGCACGTTATTAATTTTATACATTATAAAAGGTTTTCCATTCAAAATTAGGAAGACATAGCTCATACATAATGAATTGCCACTAAACATTCTCTGTAGCATGAACAACTAGGATTATTCTACTCCCTATTATAGATGACTTTCRTAATGCAGTTTTTTTCTGATAGAGGAAATGAAGCCTTTTTACCAGAATAACTATCAATGCTGTTTGAGAAAATCCTTCATGAAAACTATTTCCAGAAAATTTTGTTTCCAGAAAAGTTAGGAAAGAACAAAAATAGAGAGTTTTGTATGTATTTAACACTAGAGGCCTAAGTGACCTTGTTTTGGTGCATTTTCAAAACTTCAAATGCTCACATCTTGTCAAGGATTTATTACC